TTTAATGCACTATTTAAAATATACATAGATTACCCCCTAATTCACCTATAATTATTTCCCGTGCTAGGGTTCACTATTTCCCTGTAATATAATATGTGGTCCAACTTAAATATTATAGGTCAATATTAAGGCCCGATACCGTGCCGTTAGCTAGCATTGAAAAGTGTCTTCGAATTTCCTTGTTTTAATGCACTATTTAAAATAAACGTAGTGTACCCCCTAATTGACCTATAATTATTTCCCGATTTAGGGTAAACTATCACCCTGTAATATAATATGTGGTCCAATTTAAATATTATGGGTCAATATTAAGGTCTGAAATCGGGCTTTACGTTAACATTGAAAAGTGTCTTCGCGCTCCCTATCATTAAAGGATTTTAGAAGGCGAATTTCCTCGTTTTGAGCAATAGTGAATTAAGTCAATTTTAAGGTCAGATATCGTGCCGTTTGTTAGCATTGAAAAGTGTCTTCGAATTTCCTTGTTTTAATGTGCTATTTAAAATATACATAGCGTAACCCCTATTCACCTAAAATTGTTTCCTGTGGTAGGGTACACTATTACCCTGTAATATAATACGTGGTCCAATTTAAAAATTATAGGTCAATATTAAGGTCCGATACCGTCCCGTTAGTTAACATAGAAAAATTTCTTTGAATTTTTAAAGGTTTTTGGAAGGCTTATTTCTTCATATTAAGCTTCTCAGAACACTTTATTTCACATAGGCATACACAGTAAACTTTAGGGTCACGCTGTGTACCCCCTAATTGACCTATAAATATTTCCCGTGGTCGGGTACACTATTACCCTGCAATACAATACCTGGTCCAACTAAATTATTATAGGTCAATATTAAGGTCTAATATCGCGCCTTGCCTTAGTTAACCATTGAAAGATGTCTTTGAATTTTAAAAGCATTTTAGAAGTCTTATTTCTTCATTTTAAGCTTCTCAGAACACTTTATTTCACATAGGCATACATAGTAAACTTTAGGGTAACGCTGTGTGCCCTTAATTGACCTATAATTATTTCCTGTGGAAGTGTACACTATTACCCTGTAATATAATACCTGGCCCAACTAAAATATTATAGGCCAATATTAAGGCCCGATACCGTGGCGTTAGTTAACATTGAAAAGTGTCTTCGAATTTCCTTGTTTTAATGCACTATTTAAAATATACATAGTGTACCCCCTAATTCACCTATAATTATTTCCTGTGGTGGGGCACACTATCACCCTGTAATATTATATGTGGTCCAATTTAAATATTATAAGTCAATGATAAGATCTGAAATCGATCTTTACGTTAACATTGAAAAGTGACTTCGCGCTTCCTATATTTAAAGGGTTTTAGAAGGCGAATTTCCTCGTTTTGAGCAATAGTGAATTAAGTCAATTTTAAGGTCAGATATCGTGCCGTTTGTTAGCATTGAAAAGTGTCTTCGAATTTCCTTGATTTAATGTGCTATTTAAAATATACATAGTGTAACCCCTATTCACCTATAATTAATTCCTGTGGTAGGGTAGACTATTCCCCGTAATATAATACCTGGTCCAATTAAAATATTATAGGTCAGTATTAAGCTCCGAAATCGGGCTAACAGTGAAGAGGGACTTCGCGCTTCCTATCTTTAAAGGGTTTTAGAAGGCGAATTTCCTCATTTTAAGCTCTTCCGAACACTTATTTTAGATACACAAACATTGTAAAATACAGGAACTCATTGTGTTCCCTCTAATTGATTAATTGAAATATAATTATTTCCTGTGGTACAGTACACTATTACCCTATAATATAATATCTGGTCCAATTTAAAAATTATAGGTCAATATTAAGGTCCTATACCGTTTCGCTAGTTAACATAGAAAAATGTCTTTGAATTTTTAAAGCTTTTTGGAAGGTTTATTTCTTCATTATAAGCTTCTCAGAACACTTTATTTGACATAAGCATACATAGTAAACTTTAGGGTCACGCTGTGTACCCCCTAATTTACCTATAATTATTTCCCGTGGAAGGGTGCACTATTACCCTGTAATATAATGCCTGGTTCAACTAAAATATTATAAGTCGATATTAAGGTCCGATACCGTGCCGTTAGTAAACATTGAAAAGTGACTTCGAATTTCCTTGTTTTGATGCACTTTTTAAAATATACATAGTGTACCCCCTAATTGACCTACGATTGTTTCCTGTAGTAGGGTACACTATTACCCTGTAATATAATACGTGGTCCAATTTAAAAATTATAGGTCAATATTAAGGTCTGATATTGCGCCTTGCGTTAACATAGAAAAGTGTCTTCGTATTTCCTTGTTTTAATGCACTATTTAAAATATACATAGTGTACCCCCTAATTGACCTATAATTATTTCCTGTGGAAGGGTACACTATTACCCTGTAATATATTACCTGGTCCAACCAAAATATTATAGGTCAATATTAGAGTCTGATACCGTGCCGTTAGTTAACATTGAAAAGTGTCTTCGAATTTCCTTGTTTTAATGCACTATTTAAAATATACATAGTGTACCCCTAATTGACCTATGATTATTTCCAGTTGTAGGGTACACTATTACCCTGTAATGTGTACCCCCTAATTGACCTATAATTATTTGGTCAATATTAAGGTCNACACTATTACCCTGTAATATAATATGTGGTGCAACTTAAATATTATGGGTCAATATTAATGTCCGAAATCGGAATTTACGCTAACATTGAAGAGGAACTTCGCTCTTCCTATCTTTAAAGGGTTTTCGAAGACGAATTTCCTCATTTTAAGATCTTCCGAACACTTATTTTAGATACGCACACATAATAAAATACAAGAACTCATTGTGTACCCCCTAATTTACCTATAATTATTTCCCTTGGTAGGATACACTATTACCCTGTAATATAATACATGGTGCAACTAAAATATTACAGGTCAAAATTAAGGTCTGATATCGCGACTTGCGTTAGTTAACCAATGAAAGATGTCTTTGAATTTTAAAGCATTTTAGAAGTCTTATTTCTTCATTTTAAGCTTCTCAGAACACTTTATTTCACATAGGCATACATAGTAAACTTTAGGGTCACGCTGTGTACCCCCTAATTGACCTATGATTATTTCCTGTATTAGGGTGCACTACTACCCTGTAATATAATATGTGGTGCAACTTAAATATTATGGGTCAATATTAAGGTCCGAAATCGGGCTTTACGCTAACATTGAAGAGGAACTTCGCTCTTCCTATCTTTAAAGGGTTTTAGAAGACGAATTTCCTCATTTTAAGATCATCCGAACACTTATTTTAGAAACGCACACATAATAAAATACAAGAACTCATTGTGCACCCCCTAATTGACCTATAATTATTGCCTGTGGAAGGGTACACTATTGCCCTGTAATATAATACCTGGTCCAATTTAAATATTATGGGTCAATATTAAGGTCTGATATTGCGCCTTGCGCTAGTTAACCATTGAAAGATGTCTTTGAATTTTTAAAGCATTTTAGAACGCTTATTTCTTCATTTTAAGCTTCTCACAACATTTTATTTTACATAGGCATACATAGTAAACTTTAGTGTCACGCTGTGTACCCCCTAATTGACCTATAATTATTTCCCTTGGTAGGATACACTATTACCCTGTAATATAATACCTGAACCAACTAAAATATTATAGGCTAATATTAAGATCCGATACCGTGTCGTTAGTTAACATTGAAAAGTGTCTTCGAATTTCCTTGTTTTAATGCACTATTTAAAATATACATAGTGTACCCCCTAATTCACCTATAATTATTTCCTGTGGTAGGGTACACTATTACCCTGTAATATAATACCTGGTCCAATTTAAATATTATGGGTCAATATTAAGGTCTGATATTGCGCCTTGCGTTAGTTAACCATTGAAAGATGTCTTTGAATTTTTAAAGCATTTTAGAACGCTTATTTCCTCATTTTAAGCTTCTCAGAACACTTTATTTCACATAGGCATACATAGTAAACTTTAGGGTCACGCTGTGTACCACCTAATTGACCTATAATTATTTCCCTTGGTAGGATGCACTATTACACTGTAATATAATACATGGTCCAACTAAAATATTATAGGTCAATATTAAAGTCTGATATCGCGCCTTGCGTTAGTTAACCATTGAATGATGTCTTTGTATTTTTAAAGCATTTTAGAAGGCTTATTTCTTCATTTTAATCTTCTCAGAACATTTTATTTCACATAGGCATTATTAAGGTCTGATATCGCGCCTTGCGTGTGTTAACCATTGAAAGATTTCTTTGAATTTTTAAAGCATTTTAGAACGCTTATTTCTTCATTTTAAGCTTCTCAGAACACTTTATTTCGCATAGGCATACATAGTAAACTTTAGGGTCACGCTGTGTACCCCCTAAATGACCAATAACTATTTCCTGTGGTAGGGTACACTATTACCCTGTAATATAATATGTGGTGCAACTTTAATATTATGGGTCAATATTAAGGTCCGAAATCGGGCTTTACGTTAACAGTGAAGAGGGACTTCCCGCTACCTATTTTTAAAGATTTTTAGAAGGCGAATTTCCTCATTTTAAGCTTCTCAGAAACACTTATTTCACGTATGCTTACATAGTAAACTTTAGGGTCACGCTGTGTACCCCCTAATTGACCTATAATTATTTCCTGTGGTAGGGTACACTATAACCCTGTAATATAATACGTGGTCCAATTTAAAAATTATAGGTCAATATTAAGGTCCGATACCGTGTCGTTAGTTAACATTGAAAAGTGTCAGCGAATTTCCTTGTTTTAATGCACTATTTAAAATATACATAGTGTACCCCCTAACTCACCTATAATTATTTCCTGTGAAAGGGTACACTCCCTATTGGAAAAAATTCCCAGTATAAAATTTTTTATACTGGGAATGAAACAACGGTTCCGGTATGAAACAACGGTTCCGGTATGATACTGGATCCAGTATAATACCGGTCCCAGTACCATACCGGAAAAGGTGTTTCATAAACCGGTATCAAATTGATCCCAGTATGATACTGGAACCAGTATCATACCGGAACCGGTGTTTCATAAACCAGTATCAGATGCATCCCAGTATGATACCGGAACCAGTATCGTACCAGAACCAGTGTTTCATAAACCAGCATCAGATGCAACCCAGTATGATACTGGAACCAGTATCATACACGAACCAGTGTTTCATAAACCAGTATCAGATGCATCCCAGTATGTTACCGATCCCGGTATCATACCGGAAAGGGTTTCTCATAGGCTAGGATCGCATATTGGCTCCATTATGATATCAGATCTATTTATTATACAAGAGTCAGCATTTCATGAAACGATAATGCATACTGGCTCCAATATGACACATTTGTGTGCCCCCTAATTGACCTATAATTAATTCCTGTTTTAGGGTACACTAATACCCTGTTATATATAACCTGGACCAATTTAAATATTAAGGGTCAATATTAAGATCTGATATCGCACCTTGCGTTAGTTAACCATTGAAAGATGTCTTTGATTTTTAAAGCTTTTTAGAAGGCTTATTTCTTCACTTTAAGCATTTCAGAACACTTTATTTCACATATGCATACATAGTAAACTTTAGGGTCACGCTGAGTACCACGTAATTAACATATAATTATTTCCTGCGGTAGGGTACACTATTACACTGTAATATAATACTTGGTGCAATTTATAAATTATAGGTCAATATTAAGGTCCGATACCGTGCCGTTAGTTAACATAGAAAAGTGTCTTCGTATTTCCTTGTTTTAATGCACTATTTAAAATATACATAGTGTACCCCCTAATTCACCTATAAATATTTCCTGTGGTAGGGTGCACTATTACCCTATAATATAACACCTGGTCCAATTAAAATATTTTAGGTCAATATTAAGGTCTGATATCGCGCCTTGCGCTAGTTAACCATCGAACGATGTCTTTGAATTTTTAAAGCATTTTAGAACGATTATTTCTTCATTTTAAGCTTCTCAGAACACATTATTTCTCATATTTATACATAGTAAACTTTAGGGTCACGCTGTGTACCCCCTAATTGACCTATAATTATTTCCTGTGGTAGGGTACACTATTACCCTGTAATATAATACGTGGTCCAATGTAAAAATTATAGGTCAATATTAAGTTCCGATACCGTGCCGTTAGTTAACATTGAAAAATGTCTTCGTATTTCCTTGTTTTAATGCACTATTTAAAATATACATAGTGTACCCCCTAATTGACCTATAATTATTTCCTGTGGTAGGGTACACTATTACCCTGTAATACAATACCTTGTTCAATTTAAATATTATGGGTCAATATTAAGGTTTGATATTGCGCCTTGCGTTAGTTAACCATTGAAAGATGTCTTTGAATTTTTAAAGCATTTTAGAACGCTTATTTCCTCATTTTAAGCTTCTCAGAACACTTTATTTCGCATAGGCATACATTGTAAACTTTAGGGTCACGCTGTATACCCCCTAATTGACCTATAATTATTTCCTGTGGAAGCGTACACTATTTCCCTGTAATATAATACCTGGTCCAACTAAAATATTATATGTCAATATTAAGGTCTGAAATCGGGCAAACAGTGAAAAGGGACTTCGCTCTTCTTATCTTAAAAGGGTTTTAGAAAGCGAATTTCCTTATTTTAAGCTCTTCCGAACACTTATTTTAGATACGCACACATAGTTAAATACAGGAACTCATTTTGTACCCCCTAATTGACCTATAATTAATTCCCGTGGTAGGGTACACTATTACCCTGTAATATAATACCTGGTCCAACTAAAATATTATAGGTCAATATTAAGGTCTGATATCGCGCCTTGCGTTAGTTAACCATTGAAAGATGTCTTTGAATTTTTAAAGCATTTTAGAAGGCATATTTCTTCATTTTAAGCTTCTTAGAGCACTTTATTTCACATAGGCATACATAGTAAAATTTAGGGTCACGCTGTGTACCCCTAATTGACCTATAGTTATTTCCCGTGGGAGGGTACACAATAACCCTGTAATATAATATGTGGTCCAACTTAAATATTGTAGGTCAATATTAATTTCCGAAATCGGGCTAACAGTGAAGAGGGACTTTGCGCTTCCAATCTTTAAAGGGTTTTAGAAGGCGAATTTACACATTTTAAGCGTTTCCGAACACTTATTTTAGATACGCACAAATAGTAAAATACAGGAACTCATTGTGTACCCCCTAATTGAGCTATAATTATTTCCCGTGGTAGGGTACACTATTACCCTGTAATATAATACCTGGTCCAATTTAAATATTATGGATCAATATTTAGGTCGTATATCGCGCCTTGCGTTAGTTAACCATTAAAAGATGTCTTTGAATTTTTAACGCATTTTAGAAGGCATATTTCTTCATTTTAAGCTTCTCAGAACACTTTATTTCACATAGGCATACATAGTAAAATTTAGGTTCACGTTGTGTACCCCCCACTTGACCTATACTTATTTCCCGTGGTAGGGTACACTATTACCCTGTAATATAATATGCAGTCCAACTTAAATATTATAGGTTAATATTATGTTCCGAAATCGGGCTAACAGTGAAGAGGGGCATCGCGCTTCCTATCTTTAAAGGGTTTTAGAAGGCGAATTTCCTCATTATAAGCTCTTCCGAACACTTATTTTAGATACGCACACATAGTAGAATACAGGAACTCATTCTGTACCCCGTAGTTGACCTATAATTATTTCCTTTCGTAGAGTACACTAATACCCTTTAATATAATACCTGGTCCAATTAAAATATTATAGGTCAATATTAAGGTCCGATCCCGTGCCGTTAGTTAACATTGAAAAGTGTCT